GGTGTCCAGTATTTGAAGCTGTAGTGTAAAAACATATTCCACATATCCACTCACCAATATCATAAAAATCCAACAACTTCTGAATTGTTTCAAACTGAGCCTCGCCAGTCCCATGAGCTTATCTTGGAACACCAAGGAGATGTGTCTCTCTCTCATGCTTTATAAGAACACAGAGTCTATCTATAGTTTCATCTGTTGAGCCTGTGTAGTTCTTGATAATTTTTCTGTCAAAATGCATAATAATTGGCATATCAGTATCCTTCACTTTCTTTTTTAGGTTAGCTTTGAGTGCAGCAGTGTCCTTCTGTATAATCTTGTCTGAGATTCTTTGTCCAGAAGTCTTAGATAATGTTACTTTGTCTATATCTCCACCAGACTGCTCTACAATAAAAGTTATTAAAGTATTTGCTTGGTGATGACTGATGCCCATGCCAATGGCAGTTCTGGCAGTTTTAGACAAAATATTCGTAGGCGTAATTAAAATCTTTTCCTTTGGTATTTCAAAATTTTCATCATCAGAGTTAGGTTTGCTGTCTGTTGTATCTGATGCAAAGTCAATGCTAACAGTGTCAGATTTAACCTTAACAAAAGAAGTTGGTTTTTGCTGCTTCTTTCGTCTTTCCGATCTCTGTGCAACAAATTCAAACCTTTCATCAATTTTACTAATCAAAATCTTTCTGTCTATCATCTGATCATGAATAAAAGCTTCATCCTCTATGTTCTCCTCGGTCATCCTTAACCTACTAGGTTCCAGACTTCTTTTCAGAAGATCCATATCCAAACTTGCTCAAAACAAACCTTGACAAAAACAACTGTTGTTTTAAATCTCTTAATATGCGTCTCAAAGGATAATCAAAACAAATATAATTAGCCCTGCTCACTTCACATATTTTGGCTTATTTTCTTAAATAACCCACAAATTTAATAAAGTCAACCAACAGAAAATTTTTGAATTTAGTTATATAATTGTTTTATATTGACAGAAATAACTATATTGAAACTTGTTACCTTCAAGTTTAATGCTAAACCTCTTGCGCGATGCTTCATAGCCAGCTCCAACTTTCTTCTCAGATTAATGTTACTCAGGTTAATATACTGTTAGTGTAATGTCTAACTACTCAGGTTAATGTACTGTTCCACAAACTTATTAATACTGTAGCATAGATAATGGGCGGTCAGAACTGGAAATTTTATTCTTCTTCAAAGAGCAAAGATTCCAGAAAGGAGTCATCCAAACTCGCAGTTAGTACCATCTTCAATGCAAGATAATCTAAAAAAATTTGTTAAAATAAAAATCTTTGTCCAACTACATTAAAAAGGGAACTGATGTTTTGTAGGAAATTTTTGAGGAATTTTTTGTGGATATACTTTAATAATTCACATTCTGTATCCATTTGACAACAAATGGTGGGATTGATACACATGTAAAACAATATAAAACAAACCTAAAAGTTTTGTTTTGAAGAGGACAAAACACCAACTCTTTAATTGATTTCTTCGGATACAGATCACGGAGGTGAAGATGATGTTAGATGATGTTAGATGATGTATTTTCTTAAAGGAAGCTGGTTTCTCTCCATCCTTTCCAGGGTGTTTCCAACCAGAAATCTTTTTCTTTTGCAGTAATTTTTTATTTTGTGTTACCTGTGTTTTTGGCTGAGGGCTAGGAAACTTCTTTCTTTTTCTAGTTTTCCTAGCTATACAACTAAAAAACTTTAAAAGTAGTTGTTTAAAAAAACTACACAACTTCACAAGTCATATATAAAATAGCACAAGTGCAATTTTCAAGTGGCTCAGAGCATGTGAATATAAACACGTTCATAAGTCATGACTTTGATAATTGTTCTCTATTGGTTGAGAGCTCATGATTTTAAGCACGCATATAATCCATTGTTGCAATGCGAGTCACTAATTAATGGTAGATTTGATAGATTACAGGACACTAAATATATATATATATATATATATATATATATATATATATATATATATATATATATATATATATATATATATATATACATACAGTCTTGGTTGGGAAGTGGGAGGGATCGCTCTCGAATACTGACCACAGAAATTATATTTAGTTGCGAAAAACTGGCAAGGTTTTTTAGTCATTTTGAGAACATTTAAATTTGTGTACGAAACAAATTTTTGTTTTACGGACATACATGGAAACATAAAAAACTTCAATGTTTTTAAAAACATCTTGGTGCGTGATAATAAAAAGAATATTCACGAACACTAAAAACCCGAACAAACTAATTCTATTGGTTCAAAAAATACGCTGACTAAGCGAAATAAAGTTCTACAGTATTCTGTTGAAATGTTTGAGAAATTGTATTCATGATTTGTTACGTTTTGAGATTTCTAGCATAAATTGTTTAAAGAATATATTATTAATATTATGGCTCATTCTTGGAGCCACATCTGCAAAGCCATAAATCTTATAAACTATTATTATTTGTTTACAAAAATAAATGTTTTAAATATATATTATTTAAATTGTCAAAATTTTGAAAATTTATTATAAATTATAGATTTTATTAGTATATTCTTATTTTTTATTTAAAAAGTATGTATTTTTTATGTAAATGTAATTTTGTGTATCTGTTTTTTATCGTAATGTAATCTTTTAAAGCAATTTTTATGATTTAATTTGTAAACAAAGACTTACAAAAATAATTGCATTTCCAATGAAATTATTCATAATCATTAAAGTTGATTAAATAAGTTAATTAAATAAGTTAAAACTAATTATGTAACAAACATATAAGAAGTTTCTGGTTACTAATCACAAACAATGCATACAAAGTAACTCACAGATGAACAAGCACCGCACCTGAGGTCACGACAGAACACAAGTATATAAAGCAAGTTATTAGATATAAAGTAAAGTTTCTAGATATTGGTTTATTAACTTTAATTATTTTCTCTTAAGTTGCCATTCTTAAAAACTTGTTATACTTTTTTCTACTTTAAATACTAATTAAAATTAAAAATCCCATTCACTAAACACCATCAGCCATATTGTGAAGCAGTTTCGCTTCCTTGTCATAAAGTATTTTTAACCTTTTTACTTGATTTCTATCTAGTTAATTTACTTTCTATAGTAATTTAATGATTTTATTATTTAATTTGTTTATCTTACTAATAAGAATTGTTTCAATTATTTTAAACTTTTCAAACTACGCAAAACGTAAAATAGGTATTAAAAAAATTATTTATTTTATTTATAAAATAATTTAGCTTAGACAAAACTAAAACTTGCAAACATTGTTAAATAAAGAACATTTGTTTCCTTTTTAAACAAGATATTTCACAGCTGTTAAAGGAATTAAATTTTCTAAGTGGTATCACAGAGTTCTTTAACCTAACATCAATTGTTCTCAGAACTTTAGAATTAAGCTTTTCATCTGTCTCTTTATTAGGAAGTAACAGAAAGTGTTGCGTAGTTACTACAAAGCTCCATAACAGGTGGAAATTTAATATCAAAGTTAACTTCTCCTAGCCTTTGCCTAGAAAAATGAGTTCTACAATGCAGCAAACTGTACTGAATTACATGTTACCACAGTGATTATGATGATCCTGACCTGAATTTATAAATAGTATGATTTATAAATTTAAATATTTCAATAAGAAATCATCAGGTATTATAATAAATAGTATTGTTTATAATATAAATAATTCTAGTATTTTTTTTTTTTATTGTCATTTATAAATTTTCTAATTTTTTAAAAACGTATTTTAAAAATTATTATACTTTTTTTAAAAATCTTTTTAGTAATGTATTAAAAATAAAATCCTTTAAACTAAGTATAAATAATTCATATAAAATAATAAGCTTTAATTAATCAAAAATTCATTAAAATTAATAAAGAGGAAATTGAAACATAAAAATGAATAATAAAATAATAATTTTACTTTTTTATTTATTTACACTGCAAAGAAAAATACCTCCTGAAGCAGAACATGAGTATAAGTTCTGCTATTAGCATCTAATGTTGGGTATTGTTAAATTTTTATTAAAATTATTGTTCTATTTGTTCAAAGATTTTTTTGAAAGTCATTGTTTTTTTTTAAAGAACCATCAAGTTATCTAAATTATTTGATTGACAACTCTGTTTGTCTCTAAAAATGTCTCTAAACAGGTTTTGACAATTTCAAGACCTAAGTGTTTATGATGTCCTTCTTGTGGAACAGTAGTTTCTGGTTAAGCATACTAACGTGTAATAAATAACATGTAAACACGATCTAAATTATTTTTAAGGTTGTACTATCCTATACTTGTCTAAGAGTCTGTTGATATTAATGCAAAAATATTCCCAGTTTTTCAAAAGGATATGTTATAACTAAATTTAGAGTTACCAAAGCCAAAATGCGTCAAATTTACATTTATCAACATTAGTTTCATAAGCTATAGTTCTGTCTGACCATTGCATTTATTTCTCTTTGTAATTTAGTGAGTCATCTTTATTTGATATCTTTACTATTAAGTTGCTGTTGTAAGCATAAAGCTCACAAGAATAGTAATTTGAAACCTCTGGAAAATCATTTATATAGATGATAAACATCAGAAGTCCAAATATGCCCTGTGATACACTACTAGTAAACTTTGTCCCATTCGAAATACTTTCTATAAGCACAATACATTGTTGCCTGTTTGCAAGAAAGTTTATCTACATAATTAGTGGATAAACTTTCTTTCTAATCTAATAATTTTCAATTTACGCAGTATGCTTATATTTTTTGAGCAAGTCTTAAGGTACTTTGTCAAATGTATTGGCATAATCTAGAAAAACTACATTAGCCTTTTTTATTATACGCTTATACACTTCATCTATTGTTTTGAGTTGATTGGTATTGCTAGCTTTATTACAAACAAATCTGTGTTGTACTGTAAAATGTACTGTTATGTTGCAAGAACTAATGTTATTGATATTATTTGAATAATATATAAGAGTTTTAACTGTATACTTTATTGTTTTCCTATTTTTTAGTCATATGGTCTGAATGGAGTGAGTGGTCTCATTGTAATACATCTTTCATCATAAGTAGATCTCGCAATTGTAGCAATAATCAATTGTTAAATTGTTCTGGAAATAACACGGAGATTAGATCATGCAGCAATATTTATCAAGGTAATTTTGATTTTCAAATGTTAAATGTAGTTAATTATATATCATTTTATTATTATTTACTTTCTTTATGTTTCTTTATTATAAACTAATCATCTTGCCAATAAATTTCATTGCTGATCATTTACTTAAATATGTTGTCAGTGGTGACATTGTTCTGAAATATCTTTTATTAGATTAACCTAATGTGAAGTTTTAATAGGTTGCAAATTTAATCATTTATTATTTTTCTATTCTTATATTTGTGAAATTATGTCTGATTTAAAGTGATTAATTCCACATATCAAAGTATGCAAAAGTTAATGTTTATATATATACTAGCTGTCTGGATCCGTAAAATACGGTAAGTCTATTCCACAGTGCACATTTCTATACTTATTCCTTACTTGAATATTTTTTAGTAAGCAGAAAAAAAATAACTATATACATATAAAAAAACTATACTTATTGTTTACTTTTTAAAGCTATGAAAAAAAGTTTTTTATTAACTTTAAAAAGCTTTGAACATTTCTGTAGCTGTTGCATGAATCGCTATTTATCAACAGATTGGATAGTACCTGTCTAAATAATATTTATAATATCCGCTTGAAATGAGATGATTTAAAAATGTGGAATAATGTACTTACCATGACCCGTATACTGGTAGTATGTGACTGGGGTTTATATTTGACCAGGGCTGGGGCCAGATTTGATAAAATATAGGCGGGACAGGGTTTGTGACCGGGGCTGCATATACACTTATACATCCTAAAGTATATATTTTAAGTTCAAAATTCATGCTTTTTTGTATATATATGCATATATAAACATCATTATACAGTTTTGGCCAGGAAGAGGTGCAATTTTAGGTCATAATATGACCACACAAATACTATTTTGTTTTAAAAACTTGACCACGAATATTAATAAGTTTTGAAAATTTGTATGGCTTTTAAAAATGCGCTGAAAAAATTATTTTAACTATGAAGAAACTTGAAAAAAAGTCTTATCGTTAAAACAGCAAATAAATCTTTTTAAAAAAAATAATGTAGAATAACTTTACTGAAACTTGAATAAAAAAAAAAAATTAAAACTTAACTAAAATAAATAATAAACTATAACACTAAGGTTATTTAAATTAATTGAATCGTTAATCTTTACTAAGTTTTTGTAATATTATGTGAAACCCTTTTTGAATAAAGTAAAAACTTACTAACAATTGATAATAAATGCACTTGATATTGTTTAATAAATGCATTTAAAAGTTAAAAAAAGGTTCTTAACAATTCTTCGCAGTAACATAAACAAAAGAAAAAATAATTAAATTGTTCATTTAAAAACAATTTATTTAAAAAGTTGATATAGTTTTTATTTTCTTTAAAGGCATTTAAAATAATTAATACATCCTTATATGAATATATATATATATATATATATATATATATATATATATATATATATATATATATATATATATATATATATATATATATATATATATATATATATAATATCTATTAATATTTTTATAAAAAATCATTAGCAGTGATTTTATTTAAATGCGTTTCAATAATGTAAAAACTTTATTAAAAATCAAAATTATTTAATTCAATTGCTGTCAAAAAAAGTTAGCCTTTTTTTTTCTTCTAAACAAAATCTTTCTACTTTTCGAGTTAATTAACTTTAATGATTCTTATATAAAATTTATTAAAGAGATCGCGGTTTAAAGTCGTCACTTTAAAGTTATCGCTGTTTAAAGTCATCACTCATACAATCAAAATTTTTTTAATATTACTTTTTTTTTATTTTACTTATAAAAAAATCTTATATAATTAATTAAAATAAAATGAATTAAAATGAATTAAACTTCGAACAAAAATTGAATTAAGATTATTAGCTACTTTTTTTAAAAGTGTTTTGTTAATATAAAAACGTGTTGAAGTGATTTATTTTCAACAATTAAAAACCAATTTTTTACCACATTTATTAAAAACCATGGTTAAATCGTCAAAACAAAATAATATTTGTGTGGTCATATAAAGACTTGAAATCGCATGCCTTCCTGGCCAAGCTAATAATATATGTTTATATCCATAATATGCATGCATAAAGTGTATCTTCTAAGCTTTTATTCCTTTTGGAATAAAAGTTTAGAAGCATTTATTAATTCTCTTTAATTTTAGGCCTCCAAATTTTTCACCTTGAGCAGTTGCTTTATTAAACATTAATCAATTTTTTCATCTTTTTTACAAGAACATTTCTCTAAGAACAAATGCCGGTTTTTTATTGCAAGAAGCAATGTAAAAAAGTTCTTTCTGATGTTTAGTTCTGTTATTCTCAATTTACTAAATTTTGTAACTTATCTCAGATGTAAGGTTCCAGAGACTTTTGGTTAGTCTTCAACAGTGTCATAAACTAAAATAAGTCTAACATTTAATCTTTAATTCATGGGTCTGATCTTTTTAATTTTCCCCAGAATAAAGCAGAGTTATTTGTTAAGAAATCTTACTCTAATTTGGCTCTTGAATGTAAAGGCCATACTCTTCATGACAGTTAAACAGATTAACCCATTGTTAAACACCGAAATCACTCTGGCTTCCTAAGCTAAAGTTAATTCTTAATTAAACACTTCCACACGTGCTCCATACAAGATTTCCATCATAGTCTTAAAAAAGTGTTCTCCAGAACTCTTTTCAATTTTTGCTAAACTTTTAAAAAGTGCTAAATAAGTGGTTTCAATTTTTCATAACTCTAAAAAACACTTTGACCTTGCTATCTATCCTACAAATAGTCTGTTATTAGTTTCATTATATAAAGCTTTTGAGGTTATTAAAATATTTCTTTCTAACTGCAGTAGTAAAGTTATTCTTGAAGGCCTACCCTCTTCTTTATTTCAAGTAATTTTAAGGGTACCTCAAGGTTCTCTACTCCTGTATTGTTTCTTATCTACAATAACGATCTTTATGAAATCTAAAGTGAATCTATTTGCTGAAACTCAACTTTATACTCTTGTCTTGACAAAAAAATTTTAATTTTTTATTGCTTAGAACAAGCAGCCAATTTTAAATCTGATCTCTCTTCTGTAACCGCCTAAGGGTTGCAGTAGCTTTTGGATTTAAATTCTGGACTTAAAATCCACAATTTTTGTTAGACAACAAAACTCATTTATTTACTGCAAAAAATATTGCATCATTGTTGGCATTTCTACATTGACGAATAACAACCCTCTTACTTTTAGACAAAGTCTAAAAGCACAATGTAAATGTAATTAGACCTGCTTTATCTGCCAAGCTTGACTCACTCTCCCATTGTTGTAAGGTTGAATTTCTTTCTTTTTTCTACAAATACAATCATGGTCAATTCTTAAATGAGCTATCATCTCTACAACGCTAAACCAAAACTCATTCTTGCTTTACTTTTTATTCAACAAATTGCATCCTTTTACTGTTGTCTGTCCCTTCTTATTACAAAAGTTTTTATTAATTCAGTTTTTTTTTCTTAAACATCAAAAAAACCTTATAACTCTTACCTATCTTCATTTTTTTTCTTTTTTATACAATTTACAACTTTTTAAGTCTTCAGTTATAGGTTTCCTAGTATTTTAACTTTGTATCTATTTTAAAGTAACTCATAACATTATAGTGGTTGTTTGTAATCTATTTGGAAGTATATTAGTTTTAAAAAACGTATAAATGTATGCCAGTATTTTATAAATAGTAAATGTTAGCATAAAATTTTAATATATTAAGTATTATAGTAATTTTTTTTCTAGCCCCGGCTATCAACCCCTGCTAAATCTTATAATTTTGCCGGGGCAAGTCCAGGGTTTGCTAAAAGTCTCATTTTAAATGAATAAAAAATAAACATCTTGTCAAGATACAAGTTCAATACATCACCTTCAAAACATAACATGTTTCATTAAGTAAAACATCTTAATATTAGGTATTTTTAACTTTTTATTATTTTTAAAATTTATGAATTTAGTAAAATAGTTTACTTTAAATATAAAATTAAAATTTTCAATTATGTTCTAATAAAAACATATTTTTTAAACCTCTTACTGTTTTAAAAAAGTTAAGGTCATCGCATGGCAAGTTCAAATCATCTTGTTTTTTTTTTTTTTAATTTTTTGTTGTTTAAAATGCAAAACAAAACAACTTTCTTTCTTTCAAAACAAACTTTTTTTTTCAAAAGCATTTTACTTTGTATTATAGAAAAATTTAAAAAGATTAGATTAAAAAAAAAAAAAAGTAGATGATATATATATATATATATATATATATATATATATATATATATATATATATATATATATATATATATATATATATATATATATATATATATAAATCAGTGTTTTTTAAAAGGGCTGATTTGCTTAAAACCCGTTTTTAAGAAAACTGAAAAAAACTATTTATATCCTTTAATATTAAATATACAGATTTTGTGTAATATATTTTTAAAAAATATATGCAAGAGTAACATCTTAGTACACTTTGATAATTGCTATAACATTTCGTTTGTTAATAATTAAAATATAAAAGTTCCAAAAATTTGCCCTTTTAAAAAAAATCGAATATTCAGGAAGGAAAACAAATTAAAACTCCATAAGAAATACAGCCATGTTCTTTAAAACAATATTTTAATGTGCCAGTATATCATATAATATATATTTATATGAATTAATAACAAAAAAAGCTCTCAGTAAGCATTAAGTCTCAGCATATTAATCTACTTCTTCCTCAAAGTCACTATCAGGGAGAGTCTCACATTCATTAGTTGGCCAGGAGTACAGCTCGTTATTAAATTTGTTGAATTCTTCAGGAATGAATTCTTTTAATTTGTTAAGGTCTTCCACTTTCGCTTTTTTTTAGGTAGCTAAAAAAGACTTGCTCACTTTTAAATCTGGATTTTTTTCACAAAAAAATTGCCACATTGTTTTTATATTTAAACTTGCATTGAGGTAATATACTTTTTTCCCTGAGTAATGTGATTCTTTGAGTGGAAATGATCTTATGTGATTA